TTGCTTGTCTGTGGACACAATATTTTTCACCTCTTTGTCCAATGGGCAGGGCCAGTCACTCAGCTATGGTGCAGCAGGGCAGGTCTAGCTGAAGGGGAGGGGTTAGGATGGGTTGTTTGTGGCATGTACTGGGGTTGACAAGGTGACCTGGGGGTCAGTGCAGGGCAGGTTCTGTTAGGCCGTGCCTGTGCTGCTTGCGAGTACAATATTCAGCACATGGTGCAGATAGGCAGGAGGGACGGGGAAAGGGAGGTTGTGATGTGTGGAGCTAGGTTGGGTATGGAAAAAGAGAGGAGAAACAGGAGCAAAACAAAGTCTCTGAGGGAGCCTGCTGTTGGAGCGGAGATACACGAAACTGAGAAATGAAGAAAAACAAAAAGGGAATGTAAACAAATAAATAAATAAAAATCCCCCAGGGATCCTACCAGCGCGGTTGCACAGACCAGGGAAGTGGCTCTCAAGCTGCACAGTACAGCCTGGCTAAGAAGAGGTGGAGATGATACACAGTGCCAGGTATTCAGGAGACAGGAAAAGAAGGTAAGTAGAAAGAGACAAGAAACCGAGAAATGAAGAAGAATAAAAGAGAAAAAAGAAAGAGAAAACAAACAAACAAAAAGAAAAAGAAATGCCCCCAGGGATCCCACCAGTGTGGCAGTGCAGACCTGGAAAGGAGTTCCCCAGCTGAATGGCACTTCACCACCTGCCAAGAAGAAGCAAAGATGGCACACGGATTTAGGTGTTTGAGAGAATGGAGGCGAAGGAGGTGCGAGGCAGGGAAGAAACCAAAAGAGGCTGAAAAAAAGCAACACCAGCCACAAAGAAATGGCAGTGAAGAAGCCAGCCACCGTAAGCAGGGTAAATCTGCATAGCATGGAACTGGCACCTCCTGTGCTGCAGTCTTGGCCCACTAAGAAGCAGACTGATCCACCAAGAAGCAACTTATTGGCCCCCTGTGAAGCCCTGGATCAGCCCACTGGGAAGTAGCGAATTGGCCAGCAGGGAAGTGGCGAAGGCCAAGCAGGGGGAGGTATGGCGGGGGGTGGGAAAGCATGTCCCACTGGTAACTGGGTGCTCTGTCTCCTGCTGGGAGCTCCGTGAATCTGCTTTCCCGTACTCCCAGTCCACTGATCTCCGACAGGAGTCCAAGATGGTGGATCCATGCTGCATTAGCTGATAGGGGACCTCCACTTGTAACTCTCCTTGCTCTCTGTTCTGTCAGTTTCTTATTCCATTCAGTGCTTGGTTGAGTTATCTCTTCATTTGACGCTTAGGGTTCCAGGACTGACGTTTGCCTCTGTTTTACTTACTTTTTCAGGTTTTTGCTGTGGAGGGATGGTGTGGTGCTTCTGTCTATAGTGCCATGTCAGCCGCAATGGTCCTTTGCTCATTTTTTAATTGTATTATTTGTCTTTTTGTTGTTGAGATGTTGAAATAGTTTATAGATTTCAGAGATTAGATCCTTGCCAGATATGTCATAGCCAAATTTTTTTTCCCAGTCTGTAGGTTGTCTTTTTACTCTTTTGGTGAAGTCTTTTGATGAGCATAAGTCTTTAATTTTTAGGAGCTCCCAATTATCTTCTGGTGTTTGTGCATTGTTAGTTATGGTTTATATTGTATTTATGCCATATATTAGGGCTTCTGGCATTGTCCCTATTTTTTCTTCCACAATCTTTATCGTTTTAGGTTTTATATTTAGATCTTTGATCCATTTTGAGTTAGTTTTTGTATGTGGTGTGATGTATGGGTCTTGTTCCATTTTTTTAACAGATGGACATCCAGTTTTGTCAGCACCATTTGTTAAAAAGACTGTCTTTTCCCCATTTAATGGACTTTGGTTCTTTGTCAAAGATCAGCTGACCATATGTGGATGGATTTATATCTGGGTTCTTGGTTTTGTTCCATTGGTCTATGTGTTGTCCTTGTCCCAGTACCAGGCTGTTTTGACTACTGTGGCTGTATGGTAGATTCTGAGATTAGGTAGTGTGAAGCCTCCTACTTTGTTCTTTTTCTTCAATAATGCTTTGCTTATCTGGGGCCTCTTTTCTTTCCATATAAAGTTGGTGATTAGTTTTTCCATCTCGTTAAAGAATGCTGTTGGTATTTGGATCAGGATTGCATTATACCTGTAGATCACTTTGGGTAGGATTGCCATTTTCACAATGTTGAGTCTTCCTACCCATAAGCATGCTGTTTTTCCATTTATGTAGGTCTCTTATGGTTTCTTGCAGTAGTGTTCTGTAGTTTTCTTTGTATAGGTCTTTTATGTCCCTGGTTAGATTTATTGTTAAGTATTTTATCTTTTTAGGGTCTGTTATAAATGGTATTGTTTTCCTGATTTCCTTTTCAAAGTTCTCTGTTGGTGTAGAGGAATCCAACTGATTTTTGTATGTTTAGCTTATATCTTGTTACTCTGCTGAGCCTTTCTATTAGTTCCAGTAGTTTTCTTGTGGAATTGTTGGTGTTCTCTACGTGTAGTATCATATCATCTGCAAACAGGGATAGTTTTACTTCTTCCTTTCCAATATGGATGCCCTTTATTTCTTTTTCTTGCCTTATTGCTCTAGGTAAGGCTTCCAGCACAATCTTATATAGGAGTGGTGATAAAGGGCATCCTTGTCTTGTTCCCATTCTCAGGGGGAATGCTTTCAGCCTCTCTCCGTTGACAATGATGTTGGCTGTTGGTTTTGTATAGATGCCCTTTACTATGTTGAGGAATTTCTCTTCTATTCCTATTTTATTTTTTTTAAGTGAGGAATGGGTGTTGGACTTTATCAAAAGTCTTCTCTATGCTGATGGAGATGATCATGTGATCCTTTTGTTCTATTTATGTGGTGGATTCCATTTTTTTAATTTTCTAATGACAGCAGCTTTCTGATTTTACTGTGGCCATAGTAGCAGTGACTTTCTGAGTCAATTCAGGAGGGTTTCAAAAGGTTCTCTGGGCCTGAAATCCCACACACTGGTTTAAGATGCTTCATTTTCAGACATCCTTGATAAAATCTGGACTGCAGGAGAGATGTAGCTATAGACTCATCAGGAGACATTAGCATCTGTGTAAAAGTAAGGAAGGAGGGAATGGGCCATATAGCACAGGGATCATGGGCCTCACCCTAGTGCTCAGGGATGCGGGCTTTTGGATGGGCAGGGTGGTTGGTACAAAGAAAGCTCCTCCCTCAAGCTTGATGCAATCTCTGAACTCTCATGGCATTGCATCTGTACCCTTGTATCTCTTATCTTGTGAGGACCAGGGCTGGTCTTGTTCATCTTTGCCTCCCCAAGAACACCTGGTTGGTGCCTTGTGCCAAAGCACTATTCAGTATTCAGAGGACTCTGGATCTAGCCTGGCTGCATTTGAATTTAGGGTTTTCCACTGACATGTAGATTTCACAGATGCTGCTTATCCCATTTCAATAGTGAGGAGGTAGAGTGATTTAAACTATTCATTCATTCAACAAATATTTATTGAGAGTCAAGGTACTGAATACTGGGGGTAGACACCAAAATCTCTACCCTCATAAAGCTTGCATCAAGTGTAGGGAGACCTTGAACAAAGGAAGAGGTAAAATGTTTAGGATGTCAGACAGTAATCAGTGCTAGCGAGAAAAATAAAGCCAGGAAAGGGCTTTTTAAAAGGAAAGGCCTCCTGTGCAGGTGGTATTTGAGCAGACACCTGAAGGCAGTAGGAGTCAGCCTTGAGGGTATCTGGCAAAAGACCATTCTTGGCAGGACAAGGCCTTGGGGAGAGTGTTTGGTGTTCACAAGGAACAGGAAGGAGGCCATAGAGTTCTTCCGTGATTTGTCCAGGTTTAATTAACACAAAGCTTGAACCCTATTCTACTGCCAGAGTTCCACATCTGAAAAAAAATAAAATAATAAAAAAGGTTTTATTTCATGGGCACTGGAAATTTTTATAACTTTTCATGTTGTACTCTTTTGCATTGACTACTAGAAACAGTCAAATTTGTGATTCATCTTCAATCAGTATATATACTTTTAGGTTTGGTCCTAGTGGTCTTTGTTTTTTCACCCACTTCTAAATTTGTAACAGTGGTTCTCAGCTGGAGGTTATTTCCATACCCCACCACCACCACCCGCTGCGACTGGGAACAGGGCAGTCTCTGGCACAATGGATTATCTGGCCCCAAATATCAATAATGCCAACGTGGAGAAACCCTGATTTATAGCTATCTTGTCATATTTCATGTACCTTTATAAAGTGCCTCAAATCCTTTTGGGAATAAAGCAGAATATATAGTAAACTACTGCTTCTGAACTAAACGACGTGAACATTGTGATAAAAATGCAGAAGGTATAATTTTCCCTTTACAATAGCCTCTATATGTGTTTTCAAATATATTTATATGTATATATAGTAACTAAATCAATAATCTGAAATACAATGTGAGATTAAAGTATTGCAATCAATAATTTTTAAAAAATCAGCATGTTCCTGAAGAAAATCAACAAATACAGACATCTGTTTTTGTTGTGTGCTGTCAAGTCAATTTCGGCTCATAGCAACCCCGTATGACAGAGTAGAACTGCCCCATAGGGTTTCCTAGTCTGTAATCTTTATGGGAGCAGATCACCTGGTCTTTCTCTCAAGGAGTGGCTGGTGGGTTCCAACTGCTGATCTTCTGGTCAGTAGCCAAGGCTTAGCAATTGTGCCACCAGGGTTCCTTAGACATCAATTTTTCATTAAGTTAAAAAATATTTACTGAAAGCCAATCATGTACCAAGCTCTCTGCCTGGCACTAATTATACACGACTGGACCAGGTAGATATCCCTGCACCCACGGGGCATGAAACCTCACCAATGAAATTCTGATGTTAGACCAAGCACTCTTTAACCACATTTTGATGTCCCTCTGCTTTTTAAAGATGAATAATTTAAGGAAACAGAAATTTTTTATAAAATGGGAAACTTTAATTGTTTAAAGCAAAGGCACAAGTAAACATTTCAAGTTATCATACAATGTTACAATAAAAATTCCAACGTTAAAATGAAATACATTAGTATAACTTTGCATCTCTATAGTAAACCTAATGTATTATTCTATCATCTTTTCTTTGGAGCGAAAAGAAGGGATACGCCAACGGAAGTGATGTAAAAACTTGACTGTAAATAGCATCCACTCCATTTCAACCACAAATTTTAATTTCTGCAGAATTAACTGAAAGTTCACCTTAATTAAAAAGACTTACTGTTTTGTTAATGATAGAGCAGCAAAAAACTTTCAAGCTAAAACTCATTGTTTTAATAAAGGAAATAACTCATGATTTCATGAAATTTTAGCTGTCAATGTCTGGTACTACACAAAAATCCAGTTGGCCACAGAAAGGCTTTACCGAAACACAATTCAAATGCTTATTTTACTTTAAATCTGAAAACTACAGTGGACTATGTAAAAGACAAAGGAGAATGAGTTACCAAATTATTTCTTAAAACGTCAAAAATAAAATATTTGAAAAAGGTCTAGACCTATTTTCAATCAAAGGCACTATCTGGAGAGTAACAAGCTGCATGTCATGTTCAGAGCTAAGAAAAAGTTGTATGTCCTCTCTTCACTTTTACCAGGTAGTCCCTTACCTTCATCTTTTCCTTCTCTGCAAAAAACCTCTCCATGCTTTTGCCATTCTATATTAGCAGTTCTCAAATAAAGACCAGTTAACTGCATCTCCTTTGAGGCTGAGGAAATGACCCCTCAATTTATAGTTAATTTTATATAATGTTTGAGGTTGCTTGTTACATATGATGTGAGGCTGCCCCCAAAGATGAGGTGCTTGGTAAGATGTTTAAACCCACCGGTCAGTTAGTTTGAACTTGATGTCTCAATTAGTCAGCAAACATTAGATCTTTGACTTCTTTTTCCAGGAAGGAAAAAAATTTATCATTAATTTTTTAAAAGGCTGTCTCACAGTGTTTTCTTGATCTAAAAGGTCTCCGTTTCATTATCTCAATGTAATTTCCATTTTATTCAGATCACTTGTAGCCTCTTCTTTCAGCATTTCAACCCAGGATGGCGAGGATGCCAGGAAGGTAACCATCCCGAGGGAGCACAGTATTTATTGTGAGTCATTTAATTCACCTTTCCCCCTTGAATATTCCTCAACTCTGAATGTTTAACTGAATAACATTTAAATGACACAAAATACCAGAGATTAAATAAAATCAAGAGAACACTGTCCAATACCTCAAAGTCTTGAACAACATACTTACATTAATTTGAATGAAATGGAGTAAAATCAGGGCAGTTTTCTATTGCATCTTAAACGCCAGGGAGATTTAAACCCTTGGAAGGAGTATTTGAAAAGATCTTGAATGAGAAGACTGTTGTTTCTAGTTTTTCACTGTCTAAATTATGGGGGTATCAATGGATTAAGGTTTATTTAACATGATTCTTTTAACATCTAATTCCTAATCAGAAATAGACTTAGAAAATTACCTAAGAATATCTTTCAATATTTAGGATTCAAACATGATTCTAGAAAGATGTTCTTATTTTAAAGTCAAATTATAACATTTATTCAGTGAAGCATACCCTAAAGGTCAATGATGCATGCTCTAAAGGACAGTGCTAGGATTCTGGAATCATTTCCTATATTTCTCCTTCTCTAAAGGTACAGATGTCCTCCCAAATTTTCCAAGGAATCAAAGACTTTATCATATAAAGTGGCTGGCACACTTTCCATTTTGAATAGCTCTGAGTATAAGACCCACTAGGAAGTTTTAGGTTTCCAATTCTGTAGTTCAACGGCAAGAGCAAATGGTTTGTTCTTCTGTTGTGCCAAGCTGAAGAAGTAAACCTACATTTTAGAGAAGCTAGATCAAGGGTCAGCAAACTTTTTCTGTAAACGGTCAGACAGTAAATATTTTAGGCTTTGTGGGCCATACAGTCTCTGCTGCAGCTACTTAGCTTTGCCACTGTAGTGCAAAAGCAGCCACAGATAATACGTAAATGAGTAAGTGTGGCTGTGCTCCAATAAAACTTTACAGACACTGACATTTGAATTTCATATAGTTTTCATGTGTCACAAAGTATTGTTTTGATCTTCTACCCAAGTATTTAAAAATGTAAAACCATACTTAGCTTGTGAGTCATATAAAAACAGGCAGCAGGCTGGATTTGGCCCAAGGGCTGTAGTTGGCCGTTTCCTGGTCTAGATCATTCAAATTTCTTGATGGGGGGTCAAAGTAATAGTGTGGCCATGAATCATCTCACTTTACTTGGGCAGTGTCAGCCTTCTAGGCTGACAGTACAGAACCCCCAAAGAGAAACCCAAAAGCACCAGACTATTCTAAGAGTAGTATCTACGCTCAAATTATATGTATGTGTGTGTGTGTGTATGTGTGTGTAAAAACAAATATACATACATGCACACACATACAGGAAACAGATTTAAATCAAATTTATTTAAATCTTTAATTGTCAGAAGAGCAGGGAATTGAGAAATTCATTACCTGAACCTTCTCAAAGGCTATGGTGTCAGAGATCTGGATTAAAATCTTGGCTCTGCTCTTACTAGCTTGTGACCTGGGGGAATTACTTAACCACGAGAACTTAGTGCTATGGACACAATATTCAAGCAAATAGCTACAAAGGGTTTGCTGGAAAAGACTGGCTCACAAATGTACCAAAAGGCTTAACTCCTGGTTTTAGACAAAAAACTGTTTTTGCCTCTTCTACTCCATTTCATCATCGTATAATTTTTTTTCTGCATGCAACATATTGTGCAAAATTGTAGCTCCATACATACTGAATTCTACTTTCCTTTTATCCTCCAAGGCTGTTTTTTTCCCCCTAGGCTGCTAACAAAAATTAGAGTGGAAAACATTCCTGTAGTCTTTCCATAGTGTAAGTGTAATTTGTGTTTTGTGTAAAGGGTAATTTGTACAAAGTGTTTCCTCCAATTTATCCATGACAGGCATTCAGTTTTCTAGGAAAAAAAGTCTAAATGATAAAAAAGGAAGAATTTGTATGAAAGGATTCTTATGGCTTTATCTATAGGTTAGAAACTAGAGGATCTGAAGATAATGTTCATAGATTATTTGCAAATATAATTGTTGTATATCTTGGATCTCAGTCCACTGCTTAAATTACATTAAGTAGAATATTAGTACTAAGTAATATGTGCTATAACTTCTTTAATCATGAAAAATTTATCCATTACATACACAGGATGTAAACGAGATTTCATCAATAATGTTTTTGAACAAGCATCGGTTAAGTTATGAAGCTACTAGTGTTGAATGCTAAGCAAAATACTAAAGCTATTAAAATATTAGTGTTTGGTTTTATTTTAACCTATTATTTACAGAAGTCCTGTTAGAATGCTGGAAGCAGTCACTTTACAACATGTATGTTCCCCATATAAAATGATGATCAATGTTGGGTGGTACAGATTTATAAATAGGTACAAATAAACAATATATTTGTAGTTATCTTATCCAACTACTCTTACAAGTAAGCAACACATGGAAGCATCATATGCACATAAAAATTAGAAACTAAAACTATCAAGATAGATAACTATTAATTTGTGTTTATAAAATTACACAGAAAAAGGTGGTATATTTGGGAGCTTTTAGTAGTGCACTGATAGAACAGTAGTTTTAATGAAAAAAAAAAAATCCCCAAAACACAAAACATAAGGTATATCAGATGTATGTCTTGGTCAAATGTTGGTAGACATCCATCCTGAAAACAAATTGATAAGCATAAATATACAAGTTGTTCACTGAGCATAAAATATTGCACAAGAACAGTTTTCTCTGAAGATAATTCAATGTTCCATACTTCTGAATTCTAAAATGGTTCATGTTGATATTTTCTAAACAAAAACATTAAGATTCAGTAATACTGTTAGAACCTTATTTTACCCATTAACCATATTCCAGTCTACTTTATGGCAATGGTAAGTCAAAGGTGAAGATTTGGCAAAGATAAAAAGGCAGATGAGATTGTAAAAAATATATACATATGTACATATGAAACAGATATGTTCCAAAAACCCCTAATTGTATGATAACCGATCCCTTAAAGAAATCTACAGTCTAGGTCACAGTGATGGTCAGACAGTGGTTGAGTATGACTCTTTTCTTGGAGGCTGCTTCTTCTGAGGCACTCGATCACTCTCTCTGGTCTCCAACACACTGTCTTCTGTTTCGCTCTCACTACCACCTGCCACAGCATGGTCCAAAGACATCGGGCCAGATTTTCTGTGTAAAGGAAAATCAACGCCACCTTCCCGTAAGGAATTATCTATGAAGTCTTCATCGGAAGAATGGAATGATTCGTCATCTCCAATTAAATGGTTGACAATGTGGATTCTATCAAAAGTAGGTTGGCCCGAGAAGCCCCTCTGGCCTTTTAGGCACCTGAGCTGTTAAAACAAAATCCAAGTTAATATACTTAACTGCAGGGTGGGGGGCACCCACACACCAAGCAAGCCAACATTTCATGTTTAAGGAAGAAGATACCTTGCTTTACTTCCATTTATAGATACAGTAACAACTGCCATTTTTTCAGTGCCTTCTTTGTGTTATGTAAAGGGCACAGTAGATACGTTCTTTTAACTGAATCGTCACAACAGTCCTATGTGGTAGATTTTATTATCCTCATTTTACAGATGAGGAAATGAAGACTCAAGTAGAGTAACCTGCTAAGAACACACAACTGATAGTTTAGATTCAAGCTGAATCTTTTATATATCATATAATGAACCCCACGTACCCAACACCTAACTTCAAGAACCTAACACATCACAGATAATCTCGTTACATTATAGCCCTCTCACCCCTGGATTATTCTGAAGCAAACCCCAGACATTCTATCAGTTCACCTGTAAATATTTCAGGGTGTAGCTCTAGAAGATATAGACTTAAAGACCATATCCTTAACTATCACACATACTACACACTATCTTGAGAGCTGTCTCCAACAAGCTGCAAATGATGAAAATGATTTACAAATTAAACTTTCTTAAGTCTCTATCATGTAATAATATTGCAAAGACTATGTAACTGTCAGCCACTGATAGGGCAGGGATGCTTCTTCCCACTCATGTTTCCTAGTGTGTGGGGGGAGTGCCAATCATATATTACCCTTCTGCCTTCTCTCCCTCACTCCTCCCCAGGGCAGCAGGGGTGACTTCTCACCAGGGAATAGGAGAGAGAAATGGCATGCACTGCTTAGCCCCTTTCCATCTCTTTTCTATTTGGAAACCAGGCTCTGCTCCTTCATCCCTGGAGTTTTATAGGTACAGACTCTCATGTGGGGAGGCCTGTGGAGGTCAAATGCTACCTGTTGTTACTATGTGGACAAATCTGACTAATTCCAGAGTTCAGTATTGAAAAACCCATTGTCACACATCTAAACCACATTCTTGAAAACCAGTTTTATCAGTAATAGAAGTGATTTCTTTTCATCATCTGCTATTTCTTTGACTAAGTTCCCTCATATCCTCAAGACCCCCACCACCAGTACACGTACTATCACTTCCACTAACACAATTAAGATATAAGCCTTGTCCTCAAGAACGTATGTTTTAAATATAAAGTTTAATTTTGATATTCCGTAACTAGTTTCATTTCTCCTAAACACTATGAATAAATTTCTCCCACAATAAAGCAAAATAGTTAAAAAAAAAAAAAAAA